AGGAAGGAAGGAAGGAAGGAAGGAAGGAAGGAAGGAAGGAAGGAAGGAAGGAAGGAAGGAAGGAAGGAAGGAAGGAAGGAAGGAAGGAAGGAAGGAAGGAAGGAAGCTGCAGCCTGGAAAACCCATTTTTGTCCCATTCCAGAAGACGTTGCTCCCGTAGCAATGTTGCAGTGCTGACCTCTAGTGAGACAATCCAGGAATCAGGAGCGTTTGTTGGGATAAACAAGCTCTCCCCAGCTTGTCCCTCCTGGTTCCATCCCCACCTCCAGAGGATGAGCAGCCCCAGGCACCCATTCCCAGATGCCACCATCACCATCACAATTGCAGACCCTTCACTGCCCCAGCGTTGGGGTCACAGCCCTTCACTCCAGCCAGCTGGGAAGAGCAGTTACCAGAGAGGAAGAAAAACACCCCAAGAGTAAGAGGAACTGCCTTGGAGGGTGACAACAAAGGATCTAGCTTCAGGGAAAGCCAAGAAACTGGTCTTGTTTGTTCATCACCTCTGCAGCAACATTCAATTTTAAGGAACTGGGTAAAAAAACCCACGTTTTTTCAAGTCTCTGCAAATAAATCTCTGTATTTCAAATCTCTGCAACAGCAGCTTCACTCAGGGGGCAGAGCAGAGGGCCAGGACATGGCAAGTGCTTCAGGTAGCCAGTTTGACACAAGCCAGAGCCCAGCCCAAAGAGGCAGGAGGCTTCATATCATCAACATTTTCTCCTTATTTAAATAAAACACAACCCAAACTCTTCCCATCAGAAGTTCCAGATGATCTCCATCAGCACTCTGAGCAGAAGCACACCTGCTTTCTCCCCACTGCAGCACAGTTGGTGTGACCACAGTGACGTGGACACACATCCCAGGGAGCCCAGAGGAAGGTGCCCAGGCAGCCAAGCTGCTTCTCTTCCCTTCTCCAACATTCAGCACAAGGCAGCTTCAATTCCCAACCTGTTGGCTCAAATTCAGCCCAGGCTGGCAACAACTGAAATCCAGCCCTTGTGCCAGCTGCTGGGGGCCACCAAGCTGGTCTCAGCACCATTCCTCATGGGGAATGACAAACAAAACCATTCCT